CGCACTGAAATAACAATTTGGCGCGTTGGATAATAAATCTCTTATTAGAAGCTTTGTTGTGTAGTGTCGCTGAGTAGTTTTACCCGTTATTTGTATTTTGACTCGCCCTACGTGCTCGTCAAAATACGGCACAACTCGTAAAACGTCTTATAAGTTATTGATATATTGCCCGAGTTGACCCGCAAGCTCTGTCTCAAGTATTACGCTCTCCGAATCTTATGGTCTGGATCGAAACTTAAGAGCACGCGCTCAAAGTCCTTGATCGAATAATAAGCTGTCTCGTGCTTTCATACATAAGGATCTGTCGTATTTTGTGACGATTCCCAAGGCAAACAAACAGGCAGCATGAATGATTGATGCAGCCTATTTTGCCATGAAATATAATTTAAACGCTTAGATATTCGTGATTGTCCTGATCAATATCCCCGGAATTTTCATAGCGGAGTTTTGACCGAGACTAATCATGGTAATTTCCGTCGAAGAAATTTTCGCAGAGAAGCTCAGAGAGGAACTTGATACAGACCTCATATATTCTGATATTCGGCTGTAGCGTCGTCGATCATGATATTATAATTTACCGTTGTGGCCTGAAGCATAAACTTCATAGAAAATCAATGAACCTTAAATGAATGTTTCTTTGCTAAGATTTGCATAAAGCCAGTTGTTTATCGCTTCACCTGGTTTTTCGCACGCAACTCCAAGCTCAATCCAAAGAAAACGTCGAGAGGGTAACGCAATTTCTTGATTTAATCGAGATTCCAAATTTCTAACGGGCTATTTAGTACTCCCCTGTATAGCCTGTGCAAATAACATCAATGCAAACTTGTCTGCCGATCGATGTTTTAAAAGAGCGATTCCACAGGCAAATTAGAGAGAGGAAAGAATTTATACGCAGATGAGAAACGCAAAAATTCAGCGATTTTACTCCAATTTTATTTTAATCTGCATAATTCAGTATCTCCGTCAGTGTCTTGAATAGACTAAGATTTTATCGATATGTATTGTCTTAACAGCGACAGAAATCCCTCTCGTGATTGTAAATCAAGCACTACTACGTGTCAGTCTATTGTAACGTTTAGTGAACTTTAGCAGATAGTCTTGAAATAAAATTCCTCCATACATTGACTGGAAAATAGGTCATTAAAATCAAGTTTTATGTACCATGATCGGAGTGCATTCTGTCAGGTCTATTTTTTTTAATTGCTTCTAAAAGGATGAAATCATAGATCATGATCAATATCAACTTTAAAGCCTGATATTAATAGAGAATGGTTTAAAGAAATTTAGGTTAAACTTTTAGGGATACGAAGTCTTTGAAACAAACATAAAACTAAAATTCTCAATGTCTAGAGTGTAAATTAATTGTTACTTCGCGAAAGCCTCGGATTTACCGCCGTCATGACCGATTTAGCGATGCAAATTGGCTCAATGAATTGCGGTGTTTGTAAACAAATAAATATTCAGTCAAGTTATGCCAGACATTTTATTGACGAGCCGACCAACCGATCCAAATAGTATATCCTCGTTATTTTGATCTCTATAGTCAATAACATCTACGAGTTGTGACAACTGCATGTCTGTTACAAACCAAATATGATTTCTTTTCATTCGCATAGAGATACCGTTTAAATTTAAATTATTTTGTTTTGTATTTCAGCTTGAGGCTAGCTGATATCATGAGGGTGAGGTTTTACAAAAAAGCGTCATGTTGTCTCGTCTTTTCCATTGTCATGCTGATTTTCCTCTCGCTGCAACTTTACGAAGAATATGACGTTTTTACCTCTCGGTAAGTATTGAATGGATGGCACTGTACTTAGAAAGTGAGAACATTTTACCATCATGCAGTAAGTTTGTCGGTTCAGCTAAGTGCCCCATCTTTAAAGCATACAAAGCACTTAAGCGGGGCCCTAAATTTGTGCTCTGCTGTTGTGTTCTCAGGCAAGACACTCTGTCCAAATTGCTTCACGTAAGGGTATGAATGGGTCCGGGAGAATTGTCAAGGAAAGTTGAATAACTAGAATCCCATCAGGGATAGTAGTGTTACTCGTATTGATTTAATTAATATTGATATTGGGATAGGCGATTCGCCATCTAGTAAAGGAAATTTTTGGCTGCCAGCTGACTGTTCTCTAGGACGACGTCGCTGATATTTTCCCAGAGTCGAAAAGTCTCGCATTAATGGTTCATTTCCCATCCTGTTTTTTATTTCCCTTAATGATCTATTCATTCATTCATACATTCATTAGTTCATTCATTTAATTATTTTTGTTCATCTAGTTATCCATCTACTTATTTTTTTTCTTCCATTTGCAACAGGATGTCCGAGCGAGAACTTTCCAGCAGGGGATCCGGTCTAGATAGCCAGCCTCGCTCATGTAAACCAGAGAGCAATATTTTATTCCTGAAGACACACAAAACAGGATCTAGCACTATCACGAATATGTTAAACCGCTATGGTGACAAAAATGATTTGATAATCACTCTCCCTGTAAAGAGCTTTTTATTCCAATGGCCATCGTTATTTCGTCTCTCGTTTGTAGAATCCACCCATGGCAAACCACCAAACATCCTCTGTAATCATGCTCGATACAACAAAGTTCCCATGAACTGGCTTTTTCCTAAAGAGAATTCACGCTACATTACAATTTTAAGAGATCCAGTCATGCAATTCGAATCCATTTTTAATTTTTTCCACATGTGGTATCGTTTTTATGGACTACAACAGGCATCTTTTAAGTTGGAAGCTTTCCTGGATAATTCCACGCTATATTTCGATCAAATTAAAGAAAAAGTTGGTAGATATATAACTTTAAACTTAATCAAGAACCCTGCATTGTTCGATTTAGGACTTGACACAGATTTTCACGAAAATCTAACTGCGGTGCGACATTACATCCAATTTTTGGCACAGGAGTTTGACATAGTTATGCTTATGGACTACTTCGACGAGTCACTAGTACTTCTAAAACGACGTTTCTGCTGGCAATTCGAGGACATTTTGTATTTCAAACTCAACGAGAGAGGGAAGCAGCACGTTCGTAATAACGCCCTTTCCAAAAAGGTCAGAAAACAGATTAAGACGTGGAACGCAGGGGATGTATTATTGTACGATTACTTTAACCAAACGCTGTGGAGAAAGATACGAGAGGAAGGTCCAGAATTCTACCGTGACCTTTCCATCTTTCGGCAAAAGTTAAAAGCCATTAAGAGAGCTTGTGTACAAGAAGAAAAAGTTCTTACTCCGTTAATTCCCAGACAGAGACTTTTCGTTCATGGCTATGCTTTGAGAAGTAATATTTCCAAAGAGCTGAACGACACTTGCCACAAGATGACCTTGAATGAAGTTCCATTTATGGATTATCATCGTGACAAGAAGAAGAAAAAGTTTGACGCCATTGACATGTCTGTGAATAAGCCATAGTATATTATCTATTATTAAAAACTGGATCATTGGATAATGCAATTCAAGACTTTTTATTGGCTTAGCCATTATGGTATATCAGCCAATATACCATAATCTACAAATATGGTAAGCGTACGTGTCAACTTAAAATTAAAAGAGAGCTAAAAATTTAATAAAATTTAATAATTTAATTTAACGTTTTTAATAAAACAATTATTCCACCCACGCTTGTTGGATATGAGATGATTATAGATATGAGATATCTATATTGTTGGATATGAGATGATCATCTCATATCCAACGCGCGCTCGTGGAATAATTGTTAATTATTAAAAGCTGGATCATTGGATAATACAATTCAAGACATTTTATTGGCTTAGCCATTGTGGTATATGAGCCAATATACCATAATCTACAAATATGGTAAGCGTACGCGTCAGCTCAAAATTAAAAGGGAGCTAAAAAATTTGTCTAATATAAAGATTTGTCTAATATCTTGGGGGCATTTATAATAAAACAATTATTCCACTCGCGCTTGTTGGATAGGAGATGATTATAGCCAACTCGGCGCTACGCGCCTCGTTGGCTATCTATCATCTCCTATCCAACGCGCGCTCGTGGAATAATTGTTAATTGACTCACATTGTATGTTTATGACGCAGCTTGTCCTTTCGGTTAAATGATGCAGTGGGGAGGGGGCTGGGATTGCTTACGGGGTGTCTAATCAGGGAGAGGTGCTCTGTGAATTTTTCCCAAATGGTCCCCGAATAAAATCGTTTTCTATAATATAAGATCTGAGTAACAAAATACAGAGCTGATTCTTAAGTCCTTCTGTAAATGGCGGGATAGTTAGGTATCTTCCAAACCTTACAGGTTTGCAAAAATACAAGGGAACATTAAATCAAACGCTCAGCTAACACTTGTCAATGAAACCCGGAGAGGGTAATTAAGGAATAATCTTCGCGGAAGTGGGGCGCCCATTTAAAGTTTTCATTACTGTGGTCAGTTTTTCGAGCCGGCTAATTCGACATTTTACTTTGATTAATTTGCAAGTCAATCAAAAAACTAAAATTGTGGATTTATATTGCGCCGTTTCTATGACGGGATGATCAACTGCGCATTACAACAATGCATGGAATAAATACTAATTACATCATTACAACAATGCTTTGTAATAGATGCCAGTTACATCATGTGTAGTATAAAATATTAAAAGCTAAGGTAACTAAGAATAAAAAGCCTTACTAAAAAAAATGCGTGTTCAAGAGTTTTTTAAAAGTGTCAACAGATTTAGCCATTATAATTTCCGAAGGTAAATCATTCCAGAGTTTCGGCGCCGAAGCAACGAAAGCGCGGTCGCCTAGGGATTTTAAAGTTTTAAAATTCGGGTAAGATAGCAGTATTCCGTCATTAGAACGCAGTCCATATCTTGAATTTAAAGGCTTAAGTTTGACAAGATCATTGATATAGGACGGTGCGGATTTGCGAATGGCTTTGATAGTTAAAAGTAGAACCTTAAAATTAATACGAAATGAGACAGGAAGCCAATGCAGGTGACTGAGCACCGGTGTTAAGAAGCAAAATTTGCCCTGCATAACAACAAGTCTGGCGGCTGCGTTTTGAACTCTCTGCAGTTTTTCAATATGGCACTTGGGCACACCGTATAATAGACTATTACAGTAGTCTATTCGGTTACTAATAAAGGAGTGAATAAGAGTCGCAGCTGAGTCCATTGAAAGTTGTTTCCTTATGCGTCTAATATTGTGTAGGTGATAGAAAGCAGCACTGCATATTTTGGTAATGTGTACGGCCATAGTGAGTTGATCATCGAACCACGCGCCCAAATTCCGTTCAACAGCCTCAAATAAGAAAAACCTTTAATTTAATGAACACAATCCACAATCACACGCGATTTGTTGGTGACAGTGACCGGTGATGACGAAGGTCACTCGTTGATTATACTTTCTTTGGTGCATCTCAACTTCCGGAAAAATTCAAGGTCATCCAGCCTCTCACGTCCTCACCAGATCTCCTCGGCCAAATAAATTATTTTGATTTGTTTGCTAAACGATTCCACAGGTTAATCATGGCTTACAGGATTGCAATCCGTCCATCTCTAACCTTTGTTGGTCTGCAGACAAGAAAGCAACATTTAGGAATCGCAATACAAAGTGTGATTCGCTTGCAGCAGACGCAAGCTGCAATGGAAAGCGTCGACGCAAAATCCTACGACCAAATTCCTGGGCCGAAGGGGCTGCCTCTAGTTGGAACACTTTTTGACTACGTTCGAAATAAGGGTCATACAAGAGTGCATGAAATCCAGGGCGAGCGAGTTCAAGAGTATGGTGAGATTTATCGCGAGAAACTCCTTGATCTAGAAACTGTAACCATATCCAACGTTGACGATGTTCAATACTTGTTTCGTAACGAAGGAAAATACCCTCAACGGGAACCACAGTTTCCCCTCTGGATGAAGTATAAGGAAGAACGGAAACAAGCCCACGGAGTGTTCAGCTTGTAAGTAAATTTTGCTGTTTAAGTACATGGTCCTCTAACTATTTAATTTCTAAGGATGTTTTGCATCCAAGTTCTTCTTACACTTGTATCACTGCTTGATGAAAAATTTAGAATGAGGTAAGAAGAAGCTCGTATTTGTTGCACAAATTCAGGTCCATGTTAATACCGTGGAAAATGTTCACACAGGACAGTATGGAGAATATGCAAACTGATGTAAGGGCGAAAAGGGGGCTTATCAACCATGCAGGCTAGATTCCTCATACTCAATTGCATGAGTTGCTTGAACTCTTCCATCAAAAAGTCAAAATTGTTTGCATGGGAGGGGTAGCTTTGTCCTTACAACCCAGGGATTGCCTGGAGAAATATAGATTCAGCTGAGAAGGGGTTGGGGGCTCTGTAAGCAAGTTTTGGTGATGGAAGATTCTTCTGAGGTCTCAGGAGACAATTTTCACAGAAAATTTATTAAACTTTTGCATGAAATAGTGGATACTACAGTTTTCTTGGCTCAATGGTCCTGCTGTGTTTGTAAAGACTGATGCTCTCAATTGGTACTAAGCATTTTTTTTCATCCCACTGCACCATGTGGAAACGATGGTCAGATCAGTATCAGCTTAAGGTATCTTCATCTTGAAATACTTGATGATATAAGAGCTTTTCATTCAAATAATTAGCCACAGAAATGGTAGAGTGTTATGTAATGACTTGCGACATTTGTTTTTGACTAAATCAATAGACAGAAAAGGACTCACTTCTCATTTTGTTTTCCTGAGAAAGCTTTCCATGAAAAAAAACATGGTTTCTTCACATTGTGGCACTAATCAGGAACAATGGCTGCAAATTCTGTGAATTTAATTGTGTGAGATTTCCCTCTCTTTATTGTTCAGATTTTTTAAACAAACTTCCTTTAAGGCACCTGCAAGAGGGGCACCTGATATATATCACAAGTTCATAGGTTCCCATAGTGATTTCAGAGTGCTGTAGACAGTACTCTGAAATACAGTACAAGACATGACAGAGTGCAGAAACATACACTTAAATTAGCTGAGTTTTATTCATGCAGCAAGCATCAATATTTCTTACAATGTTAAGGGACAAAAGATAATCGTACATTTCAAGTTAAATTATTGATATCAAGAGATACATTAGCCTAGTGCTTAGCTGCACTTTCAACTGCAGGTCCAAATTCCAAAGAGTGACACATTCTGCACAGGGCATAATTCATGTTACAGAAATTGGAATGTCAACCCTCTCTGCAGAGCTAGTTACTATCTTATGATACATTTCTCTATTGGTATTAGTGTTAGTCATCATGATTTAACACTGAGAGTGACTAGCAGCTAATTTCTCCTTATAATTTGAATATATCAACAAAGTTGAAATGGTAAATTGGCCACCGTCACGATTATAAAAGCTGACGTTTCGAGCGTTAGCCCTTCGTCAAAGCCTCCTTCGTCAGTGTCTCCTTACATTGTCACCCCTAAATCACAGATTAAGATCACAGGAATAAAGAAAATGATCACCAACTAAAGAAGCTCTCGATTGTTAAACAAATTGTCCCTGTCAGTGCCTTAAGGAATGTATAAGGAACGGTATGGAGAATGTACATACCAATATTAGGGTGTGAAGGGTCAAGAAAACCACTTGGTTGATTTATAGAAGGCATTTGCATGTTGTAATTTTAGCTTTTGAAAGAGACATTGAATTGTAGTTGCATGGCTTTGAAAACTAAGCACAATGAAAAATTTAAAAATTTAATTAAAAAATTAGCCACAATTTAGACATAAGATTGTGATTTGGATACTCATCCATGGACTTTATCAGTCTAATCAACATATCCAGCATAATGTAGGCCATTTCTGAATTACCTCAAGCCACTTTTTCAAAACAAGGAAAAATGAAATGAAAATGAGTTTTATTTGCATGTTCCCATATGGCCAGACTTGTATTTTGACCCCCAGATAAGGCTAATATTTATATCTCTGGAAGCAGAGTCCAGCACACTATACATTACTCCACCTCATCTAATGATCAGAAACTATGGTAACCAGAGTTATTGAAAGTATTTGTTGCCTAGCTGTACTAAAACCAGGTAATTTTGGTACCTTTAAGTAGCTGAGTTATGGAAGCATTTTAGAGTTATGGTTGGCATATGGCACCATATTTACCACTAAATACCTGTTTTAAATTACTGATGGAACTGTATTTATTTATCTTCTCATTAATGCATGAATAGTAAATTTCAGTCATTATTAAAACACTGATAATATGTTTTTTTTTTTTTTTTTTTTTTTTTTTTGGTGAGGCAGACAAGGAGAGGAGTGGTTTAAAGTTCGTCGAGTGTTGAACATGAAAATGCTAAAACCTAAAGTTGTTGGTGAATACTCAAAACCACTGAATGATGTCATATCTGACCTACTAAATCGGACGAAACAGACACGTGATAGTGACGGTGTCATTCCCGACATTCAACAGGAACTCTTCAAGTGGTCTTTAGAATGTGAGTTTTGATAATAAAATATTTGCAAAAGTTATCATCAGTAATGACAAAGAATTAGATTCTCGAAGGTGGCGGTCAGATTAAAGAAAAACAAAAGAACACCCAAAGAAAGTGCGGCTAGTTTGCAGTTTCCATTAGTTTATAAAATGAACAACTGTTTCAAGCGTTGGTAGGCGTTTATCGAGATATAAAGCACGCGGGAGGCATTAAAAACATGACGGATGCGTGACAGTTCCTCGAGACGTAGCTGTGAGCACTCTTAGCTTTTCTTGCGCTTTCCAGACTTTCCAATTGTTTCATATTTCGATGAAGTCACAGCTAACGCGTATCTAATTCAATTTTTTTAAAACTATATAACATGAGGCAGTTTAGGTAAAAGCTCTGAGTGATTCGTGTGAAGTATTGCGGCATTAATGGCCAAAAATGCAGGGGGCTTATCCCCATTTATTCGCATTTGCGAAGAGACGATGAATTTGAATATATGAAAAATCATACATGTAGACAGCAGTTGTAAGAAATGTATGAAAGCGATTTTCACTGCTGCATAAGTAGTGTTCGTTCATTACTGGGAAGATTGCTTTCCTACATTTTGGTGGTACTCATTCATTCACCTCCCTCAGCGAAGAGAGACATTATGGGAGCAAATATTCAGTTTTACACGAGACCTCAACTCGACCTGCACAGGGCTCAAACGGGGACATCCGTAGTCTTGTACGATATTTATAATGCCTTTCTCCCAAAGCTTAAACTAAAAACTTATAAAACCAAGATGCTTGCCAATAGATTGAAACATGGATGGTTACTTCCTTTAATATGGTCTTACCTGAAAATGATGTTAACGAGATGTCGTGTTCTTTCAAACTGCAGCGGTTGGCACGGTACTTTTTGAAACAAGATTTGGCACCTTTGGTGAATCACCGTCACCTGAGGCTGCCAAGTTTATTGAAGCTGTTGAGAAACTGTTCAATCTGTTTCTGAAGGCATATGTTATACCTCTTTGGATTGACAAATTCTACAGACCGAAGAGCTTTCGAGAATTTTACGACTGCATGGATGTGATGTACGACTTTGGCAACAGTTGTATCGAAAACAGGTTGAGCGAAATTCGTAAAAGACTGGAAAATGGAGAAGCACAGGACGAAGATGCAGCGGAGTTTTTGACTTTTCTAATCGGCAGAGATGACATCAGTTCCACAGAAATCACGGCAAACTTGGTGGAGATATTGATGGCTGCCGTGGAAACGGTAAGTATGAGCGATAATCACCATGTTTTAAACAAAAAGTAGATTAGGTACGAAAATCCTGAATGGATGGGATTTCACTTGCATGAGCATTCATGCCTGACCGTAGAACAAAATCTGAAGTCGCCTCCCTCTTAGGGGAACGGGTAACTTTTCATTGCTTCCAGAGGGCGAGGATTTTGACGGAAGAGGAGGGAAGGGGAATGCTATGACGATAAAAGTTAGGATGGGAGTGCAACTGTGAGTCAGCACTTTTCTCCGGACCGTCACCATTGGTCACCCAGATTTAATAAACACTGTGTATAGCACTGTAAGCATTTCTTTGTATGGAAAACCTGAGTCCTATGGAGACATTATTGAGATGTAACATCAAATTATCTTGACGGATCTACAAAAATTATTTTGACATAAATTGGTCGAATTATCGGTCAGATAAATTCAAAAAGGAGCGCTCGAAATGGAAAAGTCCATAATACGGACGTTGACTAAATAATTGAATTTATTTATTTCGATTTGCAGACGTCAAACACAAGCCTGTGGACGTTGTATCTGCTTGCACGAAATCCTTCTGTACAAAAACAGCTTCATGAAGAAGTTAGCGCAGTTCTTCAACCAGGTGAACTAGCAACTCCTGCTACTTTGCAGAAGATGCCATTTCTTAGAGGATGTGTCAAGGAAACTTTGAGGTAGGCTGACAAATTATTTGTTGCAGTGTATTTTGCTTCCTGGTAGATTAACCCTGTAACTCCCATGAGTGTTCAATATCAAGCAGACAAATGATGAGAATAAAGAGAAAAAAAATCAACGAGGTGATTATTGGTTGATCCAATACCAAATTCTCCGAACAGTAAGGAGAATTATGAATGAGATCTTGGGTGTGACATAACTGAGGAGAATATCAAGAAATGGATAGATATTCTAGTCTTCTTGGATAAGGACGAATAAACCATAGACCCCGTCTCCTGCAGGGTTAGGGGTAGGAGACGTTAATTTCTCACGCACGAGATTACTGTGCGGTGGATGTCCTCCTCTGGGGTGGGATGGGTGGGTGTTATACTCGGAGATACTAGCTCTTTCGAGCTACTCTAAAATCAGAGTTTAAATTAAGTTATGTATGTATGTAATTGGGTTTACTAAAACTGCGGATTAACAGAATTTGAATCAATGGAGAAAATTTGATTTAAAAGATCGAACTGGAAGTGGGAATTTCAAACCTTCTTATGGCAATTTTAAACTGTCGTTTTTACAATAGTTGAGATGTAATGACACGAAAATTTTTCATACTTTCCAGCTGACCCATGCTTTTTCCCGATAAGAGCATTGTTATTTACAACGATGAATGTTAAATTACGGTCGCCGTATTGAAGATGACTCTTAACTAGTCAACGCTATGATACAAATTTCTTGATGTTTATTTCGTGTTGCTGTTGTGTTCTCACTTCATGCATAATATTTACCACCAGAAGCTTATGACCTAGAACCTTCTGTTTTGAGCTTCTGTTACCACTCATTCACCGAAGTGGATGTGCCTTGTGGTGGATTTTTACCGAGCTGGGAAGCGGCTAGATTAATATCCACACCGAGCCATCGACACTCGAGGGAATAGTTTTTTCCGTAAAAAATCTATAGTTACTAAAACAGTGAGACGATACAACCTAACCCGCGGGCGCCAGTCCCGCACGAGTTACACTGAGGAGAATAGCAAAGGATGTTCGAATTTAGTAGCCAATCAGAGTGCGCCTTCAACACTATCCACTGTTTTAGTTAAAACTAATCACAAGAAGTCATCACAACGCGAGAGAAAGATCTTGTACACCTGTAGTTAACTCTGTCATCATTTTCTGTTGTCTGCTTGATTGAACTGATGTTTCGTTGTTTTTTTCATTGTGTTCTTTCTCTTTTTGGCCCAATAATCGTATAGCTGTAATTTTTGCTGTAGTTATTATTGTTGCTGTGAGCAGTTTTTGTTGATGTGTTTTGTTTTTGTATCCGTTGTTTGTGTAAGCATCTGGTACCTTCCAGTTTCTATAAAATGACTACTGCTTCGCTGAAAATTTATCCAGGCTCTTTCCAGTGGCAACGGAAAACGCTCGCATTCTTCAGGAAGACATCGTCATTCAGGGTTACCGCATACCACCAAACGTGAGTCAATACTACTGTACCGCAGTAGAATATGGACTAGGAATATCATATAGCTAGGAGGGGAGGGGGGGAAGGGGTAATGTAGTGTTCAAAATACACCAGAATCGTGTGATCCTTTTACAACATCAACAAATGTAAGGAATCATGTAAGATTGAAATATGGATATAATATGAGAAAATAAAGTCATCGCGTTTTCATAAATTTTTTCTTTAGTTTGTTTTTACCTACTTCTTGGCGACTTCTTTTTATGAAGCATCCAGCGAGTTAAACATAAACAGGAACTTCGATTAGTTTCATTTAAGTTTATATTTTGGGTCACTACAAAGCCGTGGTGGCTGCCACTTGTCTTATTTGCTACTCCCTTACAATCTTTGATCTGCTGAATCTCCTATTTTGTTTTCGAAAAAAAACACAGACGATGATACGTGTTCCACTGTATGTGATGGGTCGTGATCCAGCACTGTTTGATGATCCTTTAGAGTACAAACCTGACCGGTGGCTGAGGGATGACACAAACAAGTCCCATTACCATGCATTCGCCTCGCAACCTTTTGGATTTGGCACCAGGATGTGCCTTGGTAAGCAGAGGAGTTTTGAACTTGGGGCTATTAATTCAGAGTCTTTTTCGGAAATTAGGAGGATGACAGGATTTGTATTTAATTCATTGCGCCT